TAACCAAAATCCAGCTCTACTCAATGGTTCCAGCCTCCACAGATTCACCACCCAGATCCCCCACACAAGCCAAGGCCAATCACATAAATGGCCCTGCTTCATTAAGGGCATTGGCATTCAATCTATGCATTATAAAGATGGTGTTTTGTATACAGAAAGAGCCCTGGACATCTAGGTAACAACAGATAGATGAATTCAGAATGACCACATAACAGTAATTTATTTTCAGATGGAGCTTATGAAACGACTAAGATTTGAAGGTAGGTCCTCTATATACTAGGATGTATTAAGAGCTGTTGGCAGTAGAATTAGAAATCCTATACCCGCATCCACTTTCAGTCAAAAACATGTTGACAAAGAAATAACAAACAGCTGACTGAACCACTCAGACTTATTTATGGATATATTGGAGTTCTGAAGCATTGACTAGGTCATTTCCACTGCAAATTACAGAAGGGTAATCTTGAAGGGCCTGGATTAGTAATCAACATAGATTATGAAGCAAATGGCAGAAAGTGTCCAACACATTTGGTAGGCTGTCAAAATTTAGCAACTGAATACCTAGGAATAGGTGACCTAGTTGCTAGAACTTTCATCAGAAGCTCAATGTTACAGGAACTGCAGACAAGGGAAGGAGTGACACAGAGGGAGAGAGAAAGGGAGGGAAAAAGCATTTATTTATTTATTTATTTATTTTTGCTAGGCAATGGGGTTAAGTGACTTGCCCAGAGTCACATAGCTAGTCAGTGTTATGTGTCTGAGACCGGATTTGAACCCAGGTCTTCCTGAATCCAGGCCGGTGCTCTATCCACTCCGCCATCTAGCTGCCCCAGAAAAAAAAGCATTTATATAGCACCTGCTTAGCATAGTGCCAGGCACTGTGCTAAGCATGTTACCAATATTATCTCATTTGATCCTCACAACGACCCTAGGAGGTAAGTGATATTATTATCCCCATAACACAGTTGAGGAACCTGAGGCAGAGGTTAAATGACTTGGCCAAGGTCACACTGCTGTTAAGTATGTGAGGCTTGATTTAAACTCAGGTCTTCCAGGCCCAGCGCTCTACCCACTATGCCACTATTTCTCACTGCCCTCACCCCCAACCCCATTCAATCATTTGCCAATTCTTATATTTTTTACCTTTGTAACATGTCACATATGCCCCCTTCTCTCCTCTTACACTGTTACCACCCTGCTGCAGGCTGTCATCAGTTCACAAATGGGCTCATGTATAGACAACAGCCCCATGGCTAGTCTCCCAGTCTCAAGCCCCTCCCCACCCCAGTCAAAGTGATCTTCTTAAAGAACAAGTCTCACCATGTCGCTCTCTCCCCCCCACACGCATAATCAACTACAGTAGTTCCCCTATTACCTCCAAGATCAAATATAAAAACCTCTTATTTGGCATTTAAAGCTTTTCACAAACTGGCCCCTTCCTGGCTTTCCAGTCTTATATTGACAGGTCCAATGATACTGGCTTCCTCACTGTTCCACAAACAAGCCAACTCTCTCTATCTCCCAATGACAAGAGTTCTCACTGGCTGTTCCCTATGCCTAGAACCTCTGCCTCCTGGCTTTCCTAATTCCCTTCAGGTCTCAGAGTCCCATCTTTTGCAAGAAGTCCCCTTTAATCTCCATGCTTTCTCTCTCAGATTATTTCCAATTTGTCCTGCATATATCCTGTTGGTATAGTTATTTGCATTGCTCATTGAAAGCACAAACAGGTGGGGTGTTTTTTGCCTTTCTTAGTATCTCCAAGGCTTAACACAGTACCTGACACATAGTACGCAGTTATTTATAGTAGTTACTCATTTGTTGACTTGGTGTGGGCCCTCATGACCTGAACTACAGCACTAGCCTGCTGGTTGGTCTCCTTTCCTCACACCACCCACTCCAACTTTTCCTCCGCTAAGCTGCCAAAGTGATTTTTTAAAAATCATTTTACAATTTAATTTATATTTTTCTAAAGTACCATCCTCCTCCCTACCAGCTCAATAGCTGTTAAAGTTGCCAAAGTGATTTTAAAGTGCAGGTCTAACCATGGTCTCTCTGTTCAGTAAATTTCAATGGTTAAGGCACAGGTCTGATTGTGTCATGTCCCCGCTCAATAAACTTCAGTGGCTCCCTATTACCTCCAAGATCAACACAAAATGCTGTTGGCACTTACAAGCCCTTTACCAACTTGTCACCTTTCCAGTCTTCTTAAAACTTATTCCCCTCCACATACACTAAATCAAGCTATGCCGGTCTACATGCTGGTCCTCCCAAATGACACCCAATCCCCCAATCCTATTCCCTGGCTCTTCATGCTGTTTCCCTACCTGGAATGCTCCCTCCTCTCCACCTACTGACTTCTAGACTTAGCTCAAATTCCACTTTCTGCAGACCTCTGCTGGTCAGTCTCACAACTAGTGCCTTGTCTCTGAGATTACTTTCCATTTTCATGGCATCTATCTTCTATGTACGTTGCTATTTGCATGTTGTCTCCAACTCCTCAAAGAAAGAGATATTGTTTTTCCCTTTCTTTGTATTCTTAGCACTTAGCAGCGCCTGGCACACTGTAATTCACTTAATGTTTGTTTACTGACTGAGATGCAAATAAAAACAACTTTAAGGTTCCTCTTTATTATACTCATGAAATTGCAAAGGGGACAAAAACAGAGACAATAGCAAAATTATTGGAGACACTATGGGAAGACAGGTATACTTCATGTAAAGTAGTCCAACCATTCTGGAAAGCAATTTACAAATGTAGCCCCAAAGTCATTTAATTTTGATACAGAGATACCCCTACTAGGCTTATACCTCCATTGAGGGAAACCCACTATCTCCTAAACCAACCCACTTCACTTTGAGATAGCTCTGAAACTAGGAAAAAACTATTAGAAACAAATTAAAAGAACCCATGTGTACAAAATTATTTATAGCATCTTTTCGCTGTAGCAAAAAATTGGAAGCAAAAGGAGTCACCATCAGCTGAACAAATTATGGTATATTGATGTAATGGAATATTATTGGGCTCTAAGACATTATAAAAGGGATGGCTGCAAAGAAAGCTTTGCAGAACTAGGAGAAAAATTTGTATGATGACCACAACTTTGTGAAAGAAAAAAACTACAATTCCCTGGGGCCAGATGATGAAGCCCATTAGCCATCTCTGGACAGTGAAGTGATGGATTCAAGCTGTGGAATGAGACATTTTAGGAAATACCGTTAAGACTTAGGAAAGGCATGTCCAGTAAAGACACTACAAGATTGATGAATCATGTTTCTCATCTCTCGGCAGAGCAGTGATGAATTAAATGTGTAGAATGAGACATTTTCAGAGAGGATATGTAGATTTGAGACTACATTTCTCACATTAAGGGAGGGCATTTAGTGTTTTGGTGGTGGGGAGACTTAACTGAGAAAGAGAAGTAGTGATATTAGTACTTCTTTTAAATAAGTGACAATCATTTAAAAAATGCAGAAGAGAGTAGAGGTTTAGAAAGGGGACACAAATGAGGCGATGACGGCACCACCAACTTAGAAATACCAAAAAAAAAACACCCCAAACTACGTAGTGACTGTTCCACGTGCCATCCTATTTTCTGTTCATCTTTGTGTAGTGAAATGTTCAATGTTAACGTGTCTTGTCTAGTTCATAATAAAAAATTTGGAGTTGCCTGGAAGAAAGGGTCACAGGCAGTATGTTATCAGAGTAAGAAGCCATTACAATAACTCAGGTAACTAGGACGGTGGCCAATATGAAAAAGAACAATCTACTGTATTCAATAACTATCTACCCTGGGTTTTAGCCAAACACATCAGACACATTTTACTATCTGTATACAAACATTCTGTTGAAAGTCTCTAAGGCCAGTTTCCCGTTACACAATTCTCTGACCTGACACTGATCAGCGCAGTGCCGGGCATGTAAAAAATGACTTTAAAAAAATATCCATTCATTTCTAGTTAAGAGCAGGGATTGTTTCATTTTCTGGTGGGCTTTCGGGTCTCGCTGCACAGCAGGCACATCTTTAATTCTTGATTGAATGGGCAAATGTTTATTTGTTCCAGACTTACTGTGTTTTCTCAACTCACTCCTAAGTTAACTTGAAACCATCTTCCCAGAGCAGTTTGGATTTTCCCCACCCTGACACCATGCAACATGACCAGAGTGGAATTGGTGTTGTCATTCATAGGATCATAGGATTTAGAGCTGAAAGGCAGCTCTAAATTATTGTTCTAGCCTTCTTTGCACTGACACTGGGGGACCTTCAAGACGGTAATTTCCAACCACAGACACCACTGGGCAGGTTCAGTTGTATCCAACTCTGTGACCCCATTTTGGGGTTTCCTTAGCAAAGATCCTGGAGTGGTTTGCCATTTCCTTCTCTAGCTCATTTTACAGATGAGGAAATTGAGGCAAACAGGGTGATGTGCTTTGCCCAGGGCCATACAGCTACTGAATATCTGAGGACAGATCTGAATGCAGGAAGATAAGCTGTCCTGACACCAAGGCTTGGCACTCTTATCCACTGTGCTACCTAGGCTGCCCTACTAAACTACAACTGTAAGAAGCCAAAATCCAACTGGGCAAATATATTAAATGTAGCTATTCTATGCAAAGTCCTAGGTTAGGCACTGAGAGAAAAAATGAGTCAAAGTTCCTGAACTCAAGAAGCTTCATACCTCCCAGAGAACTCGCTACGAGACAAGGGAAAGTGAGACAGATGCGAAGGAGAGATGCATCTTGGGAAGGAAGATCCCTACCCAGTTGGGGAGGACACCTCACGACCTACTTGGAGCTCGAAGAGAAGGACTTCAGCCCACAAAGGAAAGGATCTATTTTAAGTCCAGGGCAAAGACAAGCAAACAGGCTCCTAGTCTAGCTTGACTAGAATACAAGAGTACGCGGAAAGCAATGGTTGCAAGAGATGGAAAGCAGAATTAGAGGATTAAATGAGTGTTTGTTCATAATGGGAGGATGGCTTTAAAAGGGAAGGTACAAAAAAAAGAAACAAATGGTAAATCTTTATTTTTAGGTACCAAACTCATCATATACATACTCTATTCACATACATATTAATCTTGGAGAAACATGATCACGATGTAAGTTTTCTGAAAAACAACTTTCTGGCCCATGTTTGTAACTTCCCTAAGTACAAGACAGCTTACAGTTCACTGAACTTCAGCAATACAGTGCCACCGCACAGGTCAAGCACACTAAAGTTACAATGAAGGGAACCAACTGAGCTTCTCTTTGTTAAACTACTGGTTTCAAAACTGGAGAATTTTACATGTAAAGATCAGAAATATTTCAACCAATGCAATGCTTTGGCCATCCAAATAGATATCATTCCCAGCAATAACTCATATTCGAAAGAGTGAGGGAAAAGAGGGAGAAGGGGAGCAACAGAAGCTTTGGGAAGCTTCCTGGAGAAATGCCCCACGTGCAGACCTTCTGAATGGGTTAGCAGCATTCACAAGAGCACAAACATGTCAGCCTCTTTCCTGCTACAAAAAACTGTAGTCGCAGTCTTCCGTCAGTATCAATTTCACATTTGTTCTTGGAAATCACTGGGAAGGCAGAGTTTAGTAGTAGCCCAAGCACACTTTGTCCATGGCCAGCTTAATTCTGTAAGAGATAGGAATATAAATTACATATACCACGTCAACTTTCTTCCTCCTCACACCACACCCTATGTTGACGTGGAAATAAAATATGGTGGCACAGAATGGCCTTTACAGAACATAAACTTAATATAATCTAATGTTCCAAAGTAAAATAAATTCATTCTGATAAGAAACCTCTCTCAATTAGGCTGATTCTTAGAACAGGGGCAAGCACAGTTAGTCCATCACAAGGCCTGCAATTAAAGTCTTGAAGTACACACAGTCCAAGGTGCCAGAGCTTAAGCTCTGCTGGCATAACCTTCGTGAACCCAGGATGGCTTCCATGCTACAAAACAGCATCAGCGTTGGGCTGCAGTGGATGATGAAAATAGAGAAAATCCTTTAAACTCTACTAGCTAACTTTATTAACTCTCAGCTGTTACCCACAGTGAAGCAAAGATTTCTCTCTGATGAGTAACCCATTGAACAATATCCCCTTTTGCTTTTAAAGGAATATTAATTCTCCAGATACTGTGTATTTACCTGTCAAGTGGATGAGTTCCTTCACAAAGATTGACAAATACATATAGCTGTCGGAGAGCATATTCATACTGGAATAAAACAGATTTTTTTTTCTTTTTAAAAAGCAAGATTCAGATTTTAAATACAGATTTTCTTAACTATGTTATGAATCAATCATTTCACTATATGGCCACTCTATCTAAAGTGATATTATGGGTAGCAGCCTGGTACATCTCCCCCCTTCTATTGCAAATGACTGTCAGGCAAAGATACAAGACTGAATGACTGAATGGGGTCAGAAAACAGTGTAACTATCCCACAGTATAGAGAAGTATAAAAAATAGCACATGGTGGCTAAGATTTCAATTCCCAAGTTCTTCACAAAGCTCTCTTTTCTCCTTCTCAAGGAGGAGGGGCATTTCCTCAAGTTAAAAAACAAAATGAAAAACCCTTTAGAAAAACATTCCACATTTTCAATAGGATGAATCTTCCACAAATGGCACTTGTTGAACTGACTTGATTTGAACTTAACATGTTCCTAATTAGCTGTCGGGACTCATTCTGTCTTAAAAGTGACTTACCATGGGCGAGTGCCAGTTAAAACAGTGGGTCTTGAAATGAGTCACAGCTGCCTCGTAGCAATCATGGGCTGTGAGTGTCCATCTCTCAGACAGCATTTTCTCAGTCTGAATACTGGATGCAGTCACTACTGATACAATTTGCTGCACAGCCTTCTGAATAAGGGTTCTAGCCTGTGAAGAAATTGTCATTTGTAGGATTTAGCCTCACTAAGAGACCTTTAGGATAGATAAAGATTCTGTCATTTATTTCCTACAGTGGTTAGTACAGGTAAAATCGGTATTAAACCAATGCTTTCTGAACACGATTAAGAGACATTTTCTGGAGGATTCTGACATGTATTTATAGAAATTTGTGAAAAATCATTTCATCTGTCAGCATAATAAAAACGTGTAAATCCTAAATAACCCAAGTACAAACTGGTCTTGCTTTAAGACTCCAGGAATTCCTAGAGTCTGTCATAAAGCATCTGGCTCCAAGGTGATAGACTAACTTACTCTGTGGACACAGACAGAAACTATCAAATGAAGTTACTCAGGGAAGAGAGAAGTAAGAACTGGACACTGTTTGAGTGGGAAACTTAAGAGTATCTAGCCCAACCACTTTATTTTAGCAAATAAAACTAAGGCATAGAGAAGGAAAAAGACCTGTTCAAAGTCACACAGCAAGCTGGTACTAAAGTCAGAACCTGAACTCAGGTCCCTTAATTCTCCTCTGATATTCTTTTTCCTATACTGCCTCTCTAACTTACCTGGACTTTAGTTTTGGTCATGAGCAAGAAATAGAAAACAAACAAAATGAACTGCTTTTGTATAAAATAAGCTCTTAGTTTATTTTATTATTTTTTAAAATTTTTAGGCAATTGGGGTTAAGTGACTTGTCCAGGGTCGCACAGCTAGTAAGTGTCAAGTGTTTGGTCTGAGGCCGGATTTGAACTCAGGTCCTCCTGACTTCAGGGCCAGTGCTCTATCCACTGCGCCACTTTGCTGCCCCTAAAATCCATCACAACAGAGTGGCATTTCTATATTTGCCAACTAAGGCAAAGGCCGATTTACCTCGAAAAACTGAGGATGAGAAATTATTCTCACTTTTAAATAGGGTAAATCAGGTCACTTCATTTCAAAAAGAATACATTCAAAATATACTTAATGGTAAAACCATATTAAAAACTCAATTACTTAAAAAAAATAACTGGGAAGGCATTTCAGGCTCTTTCCCACCTCATATGCATCACTGATCATGAGGATACTGGTGGGTTGGTAGACCATGTTGGCTAAAAGCACAACAAATGGCACCATCCAACACTCACACGAGTCTCTCTTGGGCTCTTTTGGCAACAAAATCAAATCTGAAAAGTCATTCTGTTAACTGCCGTTGGTACTGGCAGGCTAGTGAAAACACTAATCTAGTTTTTTCTAGTGCTCCTAAGTGACTACTTTTAGCTTTTTGGGGGTGGACAGAGCTTGAGGCACTGCTGACAGTTCTCGAGAAGACTAGATTTCTTCCAAAGGCATTTAAGTACAACTGGTTAAAGATTCAACCGGCCACAGACGATAGTGAGAGAAGCAAAGCAATGTCTCCAATGCAAACTTAATAAGAATCAGCAATAAAGACGATCACACACAAGTGCCCTTGCAACCTGGTCATACTGACCTCACTGAAGGACTGTGGAGAAGCTTCTTGCCTCTTTACTGTATCCCTACCCACTCTTACCCCATATTTAACAACAATCTACTTAACTAAAATTGAAGTCAACTACTTCTTCTCACTAACCTATTCTGATAAAAGTTAACAATACCTTGTTTCAAACACACACGACACTCTTCTCATGATGAGACTGAAGAATGATGTTTGGGGTTCTAATGCTATCAGATAAGTTGAGAAGTATATTTGTATGCATGTACATATGTTCTGTCCAGAACCTTAGAAAAGGTACCCGAAAATGATCAGCTTACATGTACTTACCTGTAGATGTGCCTGCAACTTGTCAACAATTTTCTTAGATTCATTTGCATCATTAGTGGCCATTAATTTCCTTTTCAGGATTTCAATGGGGACATCAGGGCTTGGAGTGAGGTCAAAGTGTTTCACAGGTGGCAGAGAGATGGGAGAACTGGATTGGTGTTTCATTCCCTGAAACTGCATCACTTTCATGTGGGAGATTGTCTGCACAACAAGAAAAGGAATCACTTTTCCTTGAAATAACAGCTATGTCCCACCTCTAGCCTGAACCCAGCCACTTTAGAGGCAGCTTTCCAATTCACCCAGAGTACACCCTAATTTGGGAAACCAGGTCACAGTCCTCAAAATGAGCAACCTTCATCCAGAGAAACATTAATTTAACTGCCTAAAATGTGTCTAAAAACTGCAAACCACTGAAGTTTCCCCTGCCCAACACAGTTTGTTTCAAATAATTAAAAAATAAAAAAAGAGACGAGGGAAGCAGTTGCTCTTCATGTGAAGAAATGAAAGGGAAGCTATTGGTCCTGCTGTAAAGCCCAGCATGAACTCTGAAATTCTTTCCAAGAAATGCACCTGCTCATCTAGACACACTTACCATTCAGTCCTCAATGAATAGTAACAGGAGTTTGTAAAACAGCTGCCCAGGGTATGGGGCAGAGTCTGTATCCAAGGTCAGAGCAAAGCTTGCTGGTCAAATTAATGATCTTAGTGTCAAAACCTGGTCCACTAGTCACATCTCAGTAGCTGCAGTAACTGTTAAATTACGTAGTTTGTAATAGGCTGTGTCCCAACAGAAGGGATACGCTTCCATATGCTATCAAGTACTGTAAGCTAACTTTAAAAGGGAACTAGAGCCTAATTAAATAAACCCAATAGTTCAAGTAAGGAATACTGAAAGGAAAAGGCAAAATAGTGGATCCAGCAAAGTTTGCCATGGATGCCATTCCTATGACTGCATTTCTTTGGGTACTCATGCCCTTATGCTGAGTTCTGGCTGACCAAGCCTCCCTCCGAACCCCTCCCAATGCAGGGAATTACATTCATACCTTTCATTTTATCCCTTAAAACTTGTCTTTTGTCTCATTTCCTCAGAGCCATGCTGGGTGTCTGCTAATTTTCACTGAATCATGAAAAGGTGGACAGAGGCAAAATAACATATGTCTGTATATGTATTTATTGCACTTTACTTTTTATAAACTGCTTTCTATGTAACAACCAACCTCAGGAAGCTGGTGGGAGAAGCATAATTACCTCCATTTTAGAGATGAAGAACTGAGTCTCAAAGAAGTGAAAGAGCTTGCTTAGACACACAACGTCCGAAAGGATCAAATCTCTACCAAAGTAAGAGTCTGAGGACTGGCATTACATTCCTGGCCACTAGAACTTTGTGGCTTAGACATGTGCCACTTGAGTCAGTTCCTCCAGTGCGCCATGAGCAGGTGACTCACGGGGATACAGTGGGTAAAGGGACTCTATTTATCACTTTACATTATTTCTAGAGCTTACAGTCTAGTTGGGAGTTATGACACAAGACAGATAACCGTAATTCAAAATTACATGTTAAGTACCTAAGAGAAAAGAAAACAAAAAGTGAGGATGGGTGTGTGTGTGTGTGTGTGTGTGTATGGACGGAGAAGAGTGATTACCGATGGAGACATCAGCAAAAGCTTCCTAGGAAACACCACACTTTAGGTAATGGGCAAGAACACCACAGGGAAAGGGGGCAATACTAACAAAAGTGGATCAAAAAGCTCACGGTGTCCTAGACACCACGCTACCAGGTAGGCCCCAGGAAGATAAGAGATTTTTAAAAGCACCCACATGTGCAAAAATAGTTAAAAGGCTTCCTTATTTGTTAAAACAAAGAACTGGAAACTACAGTAAGGAGCCACCAACCAGGGACAGGATAAACAAATGATGGTATATGACTGTAACTGGTCCCATAAAAAAAATGGCAAAACAGACAGTTTCAGAGAAAGCTGAGAAGACTCGTACAAATCAATGCAAAAATAAAGTTAGCAGAGTCAGGAGAACAATTTATAAAACAATGAAAAGAAAGCCTGAAGAACTCTAACACAAAGACCAATCACAAGTCAAGAGTTGATAATTAAGCATGTTAGCCTTCCTGACAGAGAAGTAAGGCAGCTTTGCTTTTCTTTCTTTTCTTGCTCCTTACCTCCAATTTTTCTTTGGAGGAGGAGACAAAAGGGAAAAGGAGTTTAGAGATGGGTTTGCACAAAATAAAAAAATAAAAATTTAATGATGCCAATATTACCTTATTTCCATACTGCATGACATGGCTAGTATTGGTATGCTTTTTCACTAATTGAAATTGCTTATGCAGAGTCTCTTTAGTCAAATCTTCCTACAACAAAAAGACAAAATTACACTCCTTAGCATCTAAATCTAACTATAAATATTTGGATGAACTACCTCACTCAGGTGAAGAACCTACCGCATCTGAATCTTCCATCCAGTTGACACTGTACCAATCTCCCAGGTAAGTGCCTCTCTCTTCATCAAAGTAACAGGCATAGGAAGACTCGGCAGGATTGGCAGCAGTAGTCGCATAAACTATAAAAAATGAACTTCTTTCATGCATGGTTCACCCTTTGCCACATTCAAATTACAGCTTCAAAAAAGGTTTCTAGAATCTAATTTTAACAAGTATTATTCATTCAGCAGCATACTTTTTGATAGACATTGAACTAGTCTATATTCAAACACGGAACAAATCAGCTGTCAGAAGACAATACTCTTACATGAAATGACATTTTTCAGAAGTATGGAAGACAAAAGGTCAAGCTAATGTTAAAGAAAGCCCTGTGTATTTAAAGAGTGATTTCCAAAACTTAAATATATTAATAAAGTTTTGAATTTTCAAAACAATGCTAAAATCCATAACAAGAAAAACCACTCCTTGGCACATGTGGACATAATTCACTTCAATAAAAGTAAAAAAATCAAGAGCCTAGCAGCGTATGGAGTTTCCATATATTCTATGTGACTATGACCAAGTCTTTCAATGTCCAAGTCTCCATTTCCTCACTTATAAGCTAGGAAAAAGTTAATGCCTATCTTAAAGGGCTTGTATGAGGAGTGACGATGAATTTTTTTCAAATGAATTTTTTTTAATTAATAAAAATCTATTTTCTCTCCCTCCCACCCTCCTGTTGGAAAAGAAAAAGAAAAAACTGAAATGGTTATGTATAAAAAGAACACTATGACAGCTAATTAAACATTTACGTTTTTATAATAATTACCATTGATATTATCAGGCAGGTGGTTCATCATTGAGCCAGATTCACATGCTTCAATATAGAACACCATCTGCGAAACAAAATAATGAATTCTTCTTACCTAGAGGGAAATCTCAAATGCTAACTAGTACCTTTCTCAGGTTGCTGATGATGCATGTGTGTACGTCCTCATTGAAAGGAAAATTGGTAAAAGTGGTCATTTAAAGTGAATCCCACTCAGCAAAACCAACAACACCTCAAAGACTCAAATCATGGCACGCTGCTGTTCAAAAACCTGCTTGAGGGGCCCACTTCCTAGCCTGCCACTCAAGGGGCTTTACAACCGAGTCCCAACCTAGGTACTCCTATTACTTTCCCATTCTCCCAACTTACTCTCTCCTTTTATGCTTTCCTGTCTCTGTTCTTGCTCATCAAATCCCTGGCTAAGTTCGGCACATCTAACTCCCACCCATCTCTACATGATGAAATTCTAAGCATCCTTCACAACCCAGCTCAAATGTCTCTAATCTCTTCCAGGAAGCCTTCCCTCAAATCTAACTGGAAACCACTAAACCCCTGCCTCTGAACTCTCATAATTCCTCTCCTAACATTCTATGTTACAACAATAGCTATTATATGTATATGGGCATACTAGATTACAAAGCTCCTAGAAGACAAGAATTTTGTCACATTTATCTTTATGCCTTATACAATGTATGCACTGTACATACATACAATGTATGTATCTTAACACATACTAGGAGCTTAATTTGGCTTGACCACTACCTAAACCTGCCTTGGAAATACATGGTATTCAAAATGACATAAAGATTCTAGCTATACACCTATATAGTCACTCTCCTAGACCCTTCTACCATTCCTGGTACTCCTACACTCGCCCCCTCAAAAAATATTTTCCAACAATGACTTTACCTTTTTGTATTTTTTATGTTGGTGCATATAACGGATAGTCTTATTCAAATCCTTTACATGAAGCTGAAAGGCAAATATTACATCATTCAGATCAAGACGCTAGTATAATTTAAACTTTTGTTCATGTAACAGCAATAAAACACAATTTGCTGGTGGCAAATATCTAAATTATCTCAGTAAACAAATATTTTTAAACATCGTAGAACCACAGAACATGTAACACTGATACCTTCATTTTAAAGATGAGGCAGCAACATAACTAGCTTGTGAATCATCTAAGCGTTTTATTTCAACAGTTAAAAAAGAGAGGTACTGTTTACAGAATGGCCGTGCTGCCTCTCTCTAGGAGTCCTGCATCTGCCAGGGTCTCCTTCCTGGCACACACTGGCTGTGTGTCCCTCAACAAACCCCTTGACAGAGTACTCCAGGCAACTCTGTAAAAGACTTTCCAGTTGGCAGATAGATCTTCATTGGTAAAGGGGAATTTCCTCACTAGCAGTTTCTTAGATCAATAAATCACATTTCCTACTGCACCCTCCACTAACCACTCCCCCCCCCGCAAAAAAAAGAAGTGTGGGGGAGAAACTTTATAAATTTGCCCCCAGTTACATTTCTTCTTTCCAGGGCAATAAGGTACTTCATTCTATCCTTCCTTCTATTAGAGTAAGATGTTCCATAAGATAAATGAGGAAAGAATGATAATTCTATGGAAAAGCAGTTCTTACATTGTTTTGCAACTTAAACACCTGTCCCTCTTGTCTTGCACAAGCTCAGTTGATACCTTGTTTATTCTAACTATAAAGACATTCAAAGTAAAAAAGTTACTCATTTAATCTAAATGCCAGGCTCATTTTGTCTTTTTTAATTTAACTTTAAAAGATTCTGAAAAACTCACATCATCATTAGGGAAAGCCAAGAGTCCAGGAGCTCCATGATCAGTGAAGTAAACAAACACATGATCCTCAGGACCACTGCCAAAAGAAATCACCCTTCCCCATTAGGCTGGCCAAGGCACTGAATTATGACATCCTGAAATACTTGCCGTTTCCATTTTTAAGTTAACTTTACAAAGAAACAGTTAAAAAAATGTAGAGCCAGCCAAAAAGTCTATTCAAAATAAAACACAACATAAAGGACTGAAAGCAACACTAAAGCCACACCCAGCTCAGTTTTGTCCTTCATACAGGCGCTATTCTGAATGACAGGGTAGTTTCCTTCTAATTCAAAGTTTTAAAATAAAGGCCTGGGAATGAAGTAAAAAAGGGGAAAGGCCATAGCACACGGCAGAAGATTCATTCAAGAAACATTTAGCAAATGCCTTGGTGCCCTTTGGAATAAGGCTAATTAGATCATGGCAGGGCCAGAGGGTGGAGAGGGAAGAGGAGGCTACAATAAAATTCTGCACGTGATCACTTGATTTGCAAGGCCAGCATCTGCCAACAAAAGAGGGGCCAATGGCTCCTCAGTAGCCAAAGACACCAAGTTAGAGAAGACAGGGTCTTTTTATAATGATTAACAAGATTACAGGGCAGGCAGGGGGGGAAGTTACAAGTGTGGAGGTACAAGTCCCAAGAACAGAATTGTGATCCAAGTCACCTGAATACACTTGCTGAGGTAAGCGATTTAAGACTCACACAGGGAAGGGGAACATTAAATCCATGCTGGCTTAAGTCTTAACTAATAGCACTATCAAAATGATGGCACCAGGGGCTTGTCATAACCAGATGATTTAACAAGGAGAAAGTTTTAAATTGCACCAAGTGAACCCCTTCTGGGGGAAGACATGAACAAAAGATGAACAGGATGAGAAGGCAGGTCTGGGTTGCAATCTACATGTCTGGAGGGAGTACTCACATGATGAGATAAGCTGACTATATATTGAGAGAGACTATATACGTAAAATCTCTCTCTCTCATAGATTATATATATACACATACATATATACATGTATAAAAATATATATATGTGCGTGTATACATTTTGTTGTTGTTTGGTCATATCCAACTCTATGTGACCCCATGTATCCATGGAGTTTTCTTAACAAAGATGCTGGAGTAGTTTGCCATGTCCTTCTCCACTGTCCTCATTTTACAGATAAAGAACTGAGGCAAATATGGGTAAAGTGACTTGTCCAGGGTCACACAGCTCATAAGTAATTCAGATTTTCTTGAATCCAAACCCAGTGGCCCTAACCATCTCACCACCTAGCTGCCCCTATATATGAGGCTACCACAAAGAGAAGGTGGTATTACAGAATTTTCAGTTCCGTGCAGTGTTGAAGAAAAACAGGTACATCAAACCAGGTGACCAAGATATTTTTCTGACTCTAACACCTATAAACTATTTTTGCATTGTAAACTATTTAAGAATAAGCAATAGGAGCAGCTAGGTGGAGCAGTAGATAGAGCACTGGCCCTGGAGTCAGGAGGACCTGAGTTCAAATCTGGCCTCAGACACCCAACACTTACTAGATGTATGACCCTGGGCAAGCCACTTAACGCCACCGCCTAGCCCTCCCCCGCAAAAAAAGAATAAGCACTAGTGGTAGATGGTATGTATAAAGTGCTCAAAATCTCTCATCTACTCTCCACAAGTGTGGAGCAGGCAATATAAGCAGTGTACCCCCATTCTGCAGATAAGAAGGTTAAGGCTCTTGCTGGGTGATGTGAGCAGAACCAAGAGGACTCTGGACACAATAACAGCCACGTTACGCGATGACTAAGATTGTTAAACTGAACCCTTCTCAGCATGACAAGGATCTAGGACATCTCCAGAGGCCTCAGGATGGAAAAGGCTGTCCACATCCAAAGAAAGAACTATGGAAGTCGAATCACTATCACCTACTTTTACCTTCAGTTGAGTTTTGTTTCATCTTTCTGATGGTTCCTCCTATTGGTTTTAATTTTTATTTACAACTTCACTAATGTGAAAATATGTTTAATAGGAACATAAATGTAAAACCTATATCAGATTGTGCGCTGTCTTGGGGAGGGTGGGGGAGAAAAATTTTCAACTCAAAAGCATATGGAAGTGACTGTTAATAAATCAATAAATTAATAAAATTGGGGGGGGAGAAAGAAAAAACAAAAAAAGAAGGTTAAGGCTCAGTGGTCAAGTAACTTGGCCAAAATTATAGTTCTGGAGTACAAGAGTTTGGCCTTGAAGACAGGTATTTAAGCAGCTCTTCTGGGCAGGAGCTTTATTTTGTTAATAAATGCTTGCTGATTTCTATAAAACAAATTAAACAATTGTTACCTATCTAAAACTTTCCCTGATCCTTTATTCTTCACAGCCTCAGCATCGCCTCTTAACACAGCAAGGAAGTTTTCTGGAGTGACATCCTGGGTAAAAAGAAAAAGATGCAAATATCATTCTGCGTCAAAGGCAAATGTTCTCACTACCTGGGGCAGTACACCACAAGAGGGGCTGACCCCCAAAGGTGAGGTCGCATCTGATCCTCCCTGTCCAGTGCAGCCACATGCTCTCTTCCACCCTTCTTTATCCTTGCTCCCAAGTCCTGCCCTCGTGAGCCAGACACTTGCCCTTTTCTCTCTTCCTTCTATGTCTTCTCACTGGAGGATTTCATCAGTTTCCACAGGTTTAGTTATCTCTAGGCAGTAGTATCTATAGTATCCTCTCTCCAAAGCAGCATTATGGATCACCAATGACTATTAGACATCTTGACCTTGACTTCCCCAAAGCATCTCAAACTATGTCCAAAAGAGACTTCATTCTCTCTCCTTCCAAACCTGACCCTCTTCTGAATTTCCTATTACTGCAAACTCAGAAGCTTGGTGGCATCCTCAATGCTTCCCTTTCACTCCACGATCTCAAAGAGCCATGGTAGAGGCAAACATTTTGCCTCTACAAACTTCACACATCTGCCTGCTTCTTTTTGCTCACACACCCTTTCTCAAATCCTCTCACCTGGATTATTAATATCCTCCCTATTAGCCTCCTTGCCTCAAGTCCCTCCCATCTCTAAATTCATCCTCCACAGTTGCCAAAGTGGCTTTCTAAAAATGCACATACAACCATATAGTCCCCTGGCTCAATAAACTCTGCTGCATTCCATGGATTCTAGGAACAGATATTATCCCATCCTTTTAAAATGTCCATTCTTCAGTGTCTTTAATATAATAATTAGTAGTATAATTGTATATAATAATGTATAAATAAGTATATATGCAGATATTGGGGGTGCATGCTCAAAATTTTTTTATTGATGGAGCATGTGATTTTTAAATTTGGCTTACTGGCCTGGGGTTTCCTGCTGTTCTAAGTGTCCATCAGCTTTCTATGACTAACAAACAGCCCTCAAATTTCCAAATAGTTGCAATACACTAGAGAGCTGTATTTTTAGAACCAAAATGTTGGACATAATAAGGAACTTGAGACAAGTCTGGTTTTTAATCATGGTGTATTTGACAGAATGTGTGGTAGGAGTTCCTGCAATGTAGACTTGGCTGGGTTTTTCCCTAAAAGGTACAGAAGCTGTACCTGAAATTTGATTGGCCAAGGGGGATAAGACTAGAGCCATCTGACTTGTGGCTGAAGCCTCATTACATGTATTAAATTAAATTATTATTAAAATTAAATGAAGCCTTTGAACAAAGACTGACTGTTTTTGAACATCCAGAATTTAGCACAGTGGTTTTTCACACAGTAAGCAATTAGTAAATGTTTTCATTCATTTATTCCTATATCAAAGAAGTCAGGCCACAAGGAAACAGTGACTACTCAGACGTGGCAATGTCCAAATACCCTAAGAATCACCACTGTAATGAGAGGAGGGAGACTATGCTATCCCTGTTAAGGATCCTTTCTATGCTATGACCAAGTAAACCTTTTGTTAACTAATTTGTCTACAAATATCTTAATTCAGACATTACATAGTTATGTTTAGTTGACTAAGGTTGCAGCAAAGTACAACAAGAACAGAAACTTATTCCTAACATGATGGTGAGACTGACACTCAAAATACTTTTAGGTTACCTTTGTATTATTTGATTATTAACAGTTCCTAAAAGAAGTATAGCACTTGCATAAGCATCTAGCATAGGTCTTTAAAATATGAACTAAGAACTTTAAAATCAAACCAAATAAAATCTAGACTTTCAAGTATTCAAAACTTTCTCTTAACACTTCCCTGATAATCTCCCAAGGTCTGTACTATTGATACAAATCCCTATAAGACATCAAATTTCAATGTTTTGATAAACATGAAAAAAGAAAACAATTAAGATAGATGAGAAATAAGACATTTAGTTGGAACCAGGGTTTGAAGAATAAACTTACGTCTTGTGTATAGTCTTTTGGGACCCCTTTATACACATCAGTACCATTTGGCCTATTGATAATAATACCTTTTGTAGGATTTCTGGAAAAAAAAAATTAAGTGAGACAACAGGTATTTAGAAGAGCTGAATCCTACAATGTAAACAAAACTTAATGAACAAAGACACCCCAAACACGACAAATCCATTTAAAAGAGATGCATTAGTACCTCACTGACAATCCATGGGGGTCTGCATTTTAGGTAAGACAGCCTTGAAACAAAAGCCCTAATTCTGTCAAGTCAGATACAATGCAGCACTGTGATATACTAAATACGACTACGTAAATAGTGTTGTTATGAGGTTATGCGGTCAGAAATATACTTAACATCATTCTCAGCCATGTGGGCTGGGCAATTTCTTTTCGTTAAAGTTACTGAAACTAACTATAAAACTTGATGGGTTTGACTTGGCTTTCTGGACACCTGAACACAAAAAACTTCAAGAAGCCACAGCTATCTCCTAATGCTTGACCATCACAGGCAACCTAGTGAAGTCACAAGCAACAAGACAGCACTTCATAGCCTTGGCTGGATACCCTTCCCCTGTCAAGGCTAAGTAAACCTCCTTTTCTCAACCATTACACGGATGACTTGATGGACCAGTACAACCTGGTCAGCTCTGGCTTATTATTCTATAACTGAAATTCTAGTACATTTAAACTTTAAAGACTGCTGTGCCCCTAATCCATTACACCAGCAGCCAAAAGAGATCCCTGCTGGCAAGTCTAAACCAAAAACACAGATTTGACTCAGAGGTCATCTAGTCCAACATTAACTCTTCAGAAAACTGAAATGACTTGCCCATTGTCACATACATAAGTATAGCCAATAACAGTACCACAGGTCTCCCACTGCTAGTTCTTATCCTAGTTTTTCAATTCCATGTAATCAAAATTATCTACGTTATCATTTGTGATCTCTTCTATCTACTGCTTTAAGAATTCTCCCCATATCCACTGCTATAAAATATTTCCACTGTTTTCCTCTAATTTTAGAAAATGTGGCCATATTATATAACATGGCAAGTATCTATTCAGAACTACATTTGTGGTATAAAATGTTAAACTAAACCTATTTTCTGCCAACCTCTTTCCAGTTTCCCCCAAAATTCTTGTCAAATCCAGAGTTTATTCCCCAAGTAGTTTATGTTTTCAGGATTATCAAACAAGAGATTACTAATTGTTTCTTGGTTCATCTAGTCCAGGGGTGGGGAAGCTGTGGTCTGAGGCCATATGTGGCCCTCTAGGTCCGAGAGCAGCTCTTTGACTGAATCCAAAGTTCACAGAACAAATCCCCTTAATAAAAGGATTTCTTCTGTAAAACTTGGACTCAAAGGGCTGCACCCAAGGACCTAAAAGGCCATATGTGGCCTTGAGGTTTCTCCATCCCTGATCTAGTCTACTTTTCTATTTTTTGGTCATCATTGCCACATAAAACTGAGACATAGCTCTATTCCCTCTTTATGTTTACTTGCCCTTCCATTGTTTCTCTTGGGCTGTTTGTTATTCAAAAAAGGAAGTTTTTTCTTATTTTGTTTAGCTCTATTATAAAGTAAATGGTAGTCTGACATAGCACTAAAATATGAAAATTTAGCTAACAGTCTCCTTTGGGGACATGGACTAATCGTAAGTAATGACTCTCGGATATTTTACATGCTTCTCTTTCCTATGTAACTAGCCCACCTCCTTTTCCTATTATATATTCATGCCATTTTTTTTATGCATGGGTAGAAACATACTACTGCCTACAGCAGTCTAGTACAGACTTCCCCACAGGGGACTGGAGTGTCTGAAATTGTGATTCTTGCATTGTTTTGACCATATATAATAGGCTTCCTCTTTGCATGGAGGCAACACTAGGTTTCCCCCAAGTCTCTATTAATGGAAGCTCTGACAGGCTCTACCATTCTGCAAAGGCTCCATCTATAGAGTGAGTCTGTTTTCCAAAGACTAACCCAAGCACATACAGAGAAGCATATCATGAATGGATTGAATAAATGATGAATTACTTTGGCCATGGCTATAGAAATGTATTTACAAATGTTTTTTAAGACATGAAGCTTTCTTTTTGCTATTTACAACTATCCCAGAAAAGCTACAGAAAGATTCAAACATATATCCAAGGTATTCAGGTCCAAGTAAAATAGCTTTACTGGGTACAGCACACACATACATCCAGTAGAGCTGCAGCACGGTATACAGTAGCTCCCCATGTGTCACCAAGAACATCTTTAGATATTCTTGGTAAAAAAATCTTCTCAAGCGCAGCTCCTTTCTATTTTCTTTCCTGTAGGCTTGGAGTCATTAGGAACCTCCACGGCTGCACTTTTTGATCAGACAGAGGTACCATTCAAGGTTGTCTGACTTCATGCACTGACTGGTCCCAGCCTACTGTGCTCTGGGTTGAACCAGAATTCTGTTTCCAAAGGCTTCTTAGGTGTTTTCCTGTCTCAGGGCCTTCAGCTGTCATTTTTTGCTACTGTTTCTGAACGTAGCAGCTACACCTACTCTCCTCCCATTTACTATTTCTAATTTCCTCTGAATCAAGAAAATGTACTTGTTAGAATTATTAGTAAATAGACTCTAGAATAAAAACTTAACAGTGTAATTGTATCAACTCTCTGTTACTCATTTTGGAAGTTCAGGATCTGTTTTTACGATGTCCCCAAATTTAAGGCTAACCTCTGAATAAGTGAAATGTTACTATATTTTAGACTCCCAACCACAAATGATTTCACGTACCATTTTCACATTTGTTAGTGTAATAGTATCTATTAAATCTTTTCTTCTACCAAGTTCTGTGAATAGCCTACTCACTCTTTATTGTCTGCAATGTCGTCATACATCATGATGATTATCTGCTCATCAGGAATCCCATTTCGGTGAACGATCTGGTACGCATGGCAGGCGTCAGCCTAGAAAAGAGCAGGATGTGAAGTCTCACGGTGCTTCCTAGAGAATGTTTTTCAGTTTATATGGTTATCAAAACATTTTGCCTTGGCCAATGTCATTATAATAACATTAATCATTCTTACTAATAATTCAATAAGCATTTGTCAGATAGGTCTAGATGATACAAAAATTAAAAAGTCCCTCACTTCTGGGCCTACATGCAACTAAATACAAAATGCATATGAAGTAATTTCAGGAGAACACCAATGAGGGGAAAAGGCATGGAGGCAGGGGAATTTATGTAGGAGGTACAGAAAGTAGCTGGAACATAAGAGTGCATGGGAGAGTATAACAGGAAATCAATCTAGAAAGACAGGCTGAAATGAGATTGTGTAGAACTTCAAATGTCAAACACAGTAACATGTATTTTACTCTAAAGAGGGAATAGGGAACAAAAGTGAGGGGCAGGGAAGACCGTACTTGAAAATCATTTTGGAAGCTACTGAGGAAGACCAGAGAGGGGGTTTCTAAGTTGTTTTACAAAAGATGCTCTTTCATTAGCTGATTTTAATGTATCCCAGCAACTTCATTATACGGGATCCTACAAATATGTGTGCGTGGCATGCCTGCACACACACACTTATGCACAAGTAACAATCTCTTACTAACTTTAAATACTCCCCCTAAAACTCATGCACCCACTGAGAAACTATTAACTCAAATGGATAGTTACTCTCATGAACAAAACGCTCATTAAAATCTCCCTTTATTCTGAGCATACTATGATTCTGTTGACCTACAACATTTCTTAAATTCAGGAACCTTTCTGAACTTGTTTTCGTAACTTCTTGCCAAGATGGCTGCCTGACAAGAGGCAGACCCCCCAGCTACCACATAACTACTTCATCAAAACCCTGAAGTTCAAACCAGCCTGAATAATGACCAAGAGAACCAAAGAAAAACTAGAATAAGTGACTTCTTCCACCTCAAAAATGTGCAAAAAAGCAGCCAGGAATCTCCAGACAATAAGGAAGGGAATTTCCCCACCAAAGCTAGCACCAACACATGGTAACACCCCAACTCAACCAAAGACGGTGGATGTAGCCTCCAAGGGTATGTCCAAACGTAGCTAAGATAGAGTGGAGGGATACTCTGAGAAAGCCCAAGGTTAGTTTTAAAGTCTGAATATCAACCAACACTATAGCACTCAGGCCCAGGGGCTCCAAGGTCTCTAAGACCAAGTCTTGACAGAGAGGGCCCTGAAAATTCAGCACTCCAAACTCAGTGTAAGATCATAACACCCAGAAGCAAAGCAGGGAACAAAGCCTAGCCCTGGTACAGAAAGCCCCAACTCAGCTAAATTTGGAGAGATGAATAAGCAAGGAAAGCAGTAACCACTATCAAAAATTATCACAAATCTAAAGATTTCCTTAAAAGGAAAGAAAAAATTCTAGTAACTATAAGCAGAGAATCAAAAAAGTTTTGAAAAAAATGGATTCTCCACAAGGACAACCTGACTACCTAAAAGAAATCAAGCAAGAGATACTTAACGAAATAAAAGTTCTGGAGGAAAGAACTGAAAGGAAAATAAATAGCTTGAGAACAGAAAGTGGTAAACTTACCCCAAGAAAAGAAAATCTCTGAAAATCGGACTAGATCAAACAAATCAAATGGTTCCACAAGACAGCAAGAAATATTAGGACAAAATCAAAAGATAAAAAAAACCAATTAAGAAAATGTGAGACATCTGATATCCAAAAAAAAAAAGTGACCTGCAAAATATGTCAAGGAAAAATCATTTAAGAATTATTGGACTCAGGGGCAGCTAGGATAGAGAAGTGGATAAAGCACCGGCCCTGAAGTCAGGAGGACCTAAGTTCAAATCCAGCCTCAGACCAAACACTTGACCCTTACTAGCTGTGTGACCCTGGGCAAGTCACTTAACCCCAATTGCCAAAAAAAAAAAAAAAAGGAATCATTGGACTCCCTAAAAAACTTGATTTTAAAAAACTGGACAGTACATTTCAAGAACCATAGATGAAAACTATCAAGTTCTATTAGAACAAGAAGACAAAATAAAGTAAAAGTGAAGTTCCAGGAATATCAGAGCGAAAAATCCAGACATCTGACATCAAAGGAAAAATACTAGAAGCATCTAGAAAGTAGCAACTCAAGTCTCAAGGGACCACAGGATCACAGAAGTCCTGGCAACTTCAACTATATACAAGAAAAGATCTTAGAATATACTATTACAAAGGCAAAAGAGACATGTTACAACCAAGAATAACGTATCCTGCAAAGCTAAGTATTAAAGGGGCAAAGAATTAACCTTTGAAGGAAAAGAGATTTCTCATCAAAAGATCAGAGTGGAATAGGAATTCTAAAACACAAATACAAGAATCTAGAAAAATATATTTGAGAAACTGGAAATAGCCATATAATGATACAGTGCTCATATGCCAAGAGGGAGAGAAGAAATATCTCTTCAGAACCTTAATGTTTCCAAAGGGTATTGAAAGAGTTAAATGAGAAAAAGAGGTCTTGGTGGTGGACTGGTTCTGTTCTAACAGTCTGAAAGATGGGGAAGGGGCAGCTAGGTGGCACAGTGGATAGCGCACCGGCTCTGAAGTCAGGATGTCCTGAGTTCAAATCCAGCCTCAGACCAAATACTTCACATTTACTAACTGTGTGACCCTGGGCAAGTCACTTAACCCCAATTGCCTATCAATCAATCAATCAACAAATAAGTAAATAAATGAGTGAATGAATGAATGAATGAATGAACAAATAAATGAGTGAGTCAGCAAATAAATAAATATGGGGGGAAAGGGATAATAAAAGGAATTCGTAAGTGTAGAAAGGAGGAAGAGAGGGGAGTTTGCTATTTTTCCTAATTGAGAATACACAAAGGAAGAGGAAGGTTGGAAGAGTGGGTATCAGATGAACTTCATTGTTACCTGAAATAGACAAAGGAGTGTTGATCACAGAGTCTGGTGTAGAAATACATCAAACTCAACAGGGAAACAAATGGGGATGGGAACAGGGGAGATAATACCAGGGGAATAACTGCTGGACACAAGGTACAGAGCCTTGAATTTTTTGAACATGGTTGTGTGGATTCATTTTGAATGCCTATCCTTTTCACAAGGGTTTTCTTCTCTCTTTCTTAATGGGTAAGCTGGGGGAGTAAGCAACAGTAATACCAAAAGAAGCCCATTTTAATTTTTTAAATATTTATTTATTTTTTGGCAATTGGGGTTAAGTGACTTGCCCGGGGTCTCACAGCTAGTAAGTGTCAAGTGTTTGGTCTGAGGCCGATTTGAACTCAGGTCCTCCTGACTTCAGGGGCGGTGCTCTATCCACTGCGCCACTTAGCTGCCCCTAATTTTTTTTAAAGGCACAGAAAAGAACAGAAGGAAGCAGAAACAAGCAGGGCAGTTTGGAAAAAATATTCTTAACGCAAGAGAAATTAAATGGAGATTCAATTTCATATTTGTTCAGAATTTAAAAAAGATTTGGTAAACAGCATACTTCTGATTCAGGAACTAAAATATGTAATGTCCTCCCCAAATTAAAAAAAAAAAAGTTGATATAATCAGAAGAAAAAAAATTTTACTCTAAGTTAACTTGAAATTCATTATCTCCTTTGAGAGGATGTATATACAGTAAAAGACAGTACAGTAACCACTTGAGAAAAGTTTTCCTACTTTAGATTTCCTAATTATATTTTGTTAAATAAAAATCCAATGTTGTGAAATATCGTTAGGCAATCAACAAGTTGTTTAAGTGTAAAGAACACTGGATTTTGTCCTGGTATCACAGACTGAGTTCTAGCTTTGCCACTTGTTAGTCATATGACCTCCTTTAAGTCTCCAGACCTTCCCTAAGCCTCTTTCCTTACATATAAAACAAAGGCGGTCTCCCAGGGCTACTCTGACAATGTGCTTTGTAAGCCTCAAACGAGGATAGAGATGAGTGGATTATTGTTATTAAATAAGTATGTGAACTATTTTACTGGTTGGCAATAAGTTAGACAAACGTATAAAAAAACTTCCTTTATTTTGTTAGGATAATAGATGCTTATTGGGTAGAATCCTATTTTTTCATATTCACACAAGAAATAATACCTAATATCAAACGGGACAATAATTACAGTAAGAGCACCTGTTGTTCACACAATCAAACAGAATTTGACTAGTAAATCTGTTCTTGGCCCCAGAAGACACCAAAGCCTTCCTGGTACTCCCTGTGGTCACTGACTCCAGCAAACACTCCCTATTCCCTGTTAGTAGAGTGAAAAACTTATTTAGAGCTAGTAGAAAAAGTAGCTCTACAGGAGATTTGCAAGCTGTCTAGCATTCAAAAAAAATGACTGAAAGGTGATATTAAAGTCAACTCGAATAATTGAGAAATCAAAGTGTAATCCAACTTATATTTGGATTATACTTGGATTTCCCTAGTGTAAAAGTACCCTTCAAAATGGAAACCTCCAGAAATATGGTGGTTGTGTGTAAGAGTTTAGGAAAAATAAAGAGCACTTTAAATTTTCAACAAAAATGCTATAGCAACAGTTCTTTAAATAGCACATGATAGGGTCTGACATAGCAATATGATCTCCTGTAGCAAGGCAACAGGTCCACTTACTACCCTCATAAGATCTGTTTGGGAGAAGAGTCACACTTAGATTGTACATGTGTGTATCTAAAAATATGTATGTGCACACATACACACCATATCATATATCTGCACACACACACTCAAATACATGACTACACTGTCAAACAGTTGAAGTAGTTGCCAAACTGCTTTTGCCCACGATTTTCTTCATTATAAGGGTTACCTCACTGGACTAGGAAGGGAAGAGTGATATATTTGGAAATACAGGTAATGTAAAAACAAAAGATACCAATAAAAACAATTTTCAAATAAGAAATACAATGTTCCATGCTCTTGTTGTCCACAGGTCATTTCTGACAAATTTCCTAGAAATCAGGAAGAACTCTATTGTTGTTATGGTTTTAAAGGAGGGAGGGTCTTCATCTAGAAAATGAGGAAGTTGGACTAGATGTGTTCAGAGGTCCCTTCCAGCTCCAGAGCTCTGATCCTCTAAGAATACATTATTTCCTGTACTTGTTCAAGTGTCATCGCTTTATTCAAGCACCACTGGATAACAAACGAACACCAGTAATACCACATTTCCAACTGTAATTTAGTGAACTCTTACTGCTCACATTATATATTCATCTGAACAGCGACAAAGGTCTATTGTATACTTTGGGGGATTAGCATGGTGCTGAGCAAATAGTAGGCTAATTACCTAGACTCACAGGTTTAGAAGCTAAGAAACATTCCAGTCCAACCTCTTGATTTTTTTCAGATCAGGAAATCAAATGCTCAATTCTGAGAAGACGGACTTGCCTAAGGCCTCCAAGGTCTTATAAAGGTGAGTAACAAAGCCTCCTCAATGATCTTTCAGGGAAGATCCAGCACTGAATCTGTTGTTAAATCAAAGATCTAGCACAGATCTTTAGATGAAAAGCAAGCCCACTCTGAATGACTATCGTATACTAACAGCTAGCATTTATATAGATAGCACTTTAAGATTTGCATGGTGGTTTATAAAAATCTCATTTTATCCTCACAAAAACCTTGGGAGGTAGGTTTTATTACCCCCATTTTACAGATGAGGGAACAAACAGGTTAAATGATTTGCACAGGGTCACAAAGATAGTAAGTGCCTGGGACCAGACATGAATTCAGTGAATTCAGTTCTTCCTAAATCCAAGTCCCAACATGCTATTCACTGTACCACCTAGCTGGCCTAAGACAACCACCATTCTCAGTTCAGTCAATTCTCTGGTTATTTGGGGGTTGCTTATTCAGTTTGTAATCAAGTTTGTTAGTTTCTTTTTAACTGCTCATTAATGAATGCTGCAAAAAATAAAACTACAACTAATCAGCTTGACCCCTAAAGAGATAGAGAAAACATCCAGCTCCTCAGCAGGTGGGGAAGGGGAGACATGAGTCTGGAGCGCTGACCATATACTGTCAGTTTTAGTAGGCCCTTAATAAATACTAGTTGACCAACAGACTAGTTTTGCCAGATTTTTTTCCTCTCTTCTGTCCTCTAAAAACTGTTTTGTGGAATGGCTCTGCAGGAGGGAGAAGAGGGATATCGGGAAAAACTGAGGGGAAGTTAAAATGAAAAAAAGAAACACAATTCCAGAGAGCAAGCTTAACAACACTTAGTGAGGAAGTGAAATAAAATTGGTATAGATAAAAGTAGATAAAATACAGTCTTTGGGTTCACCAATTCAATAGTTCACCCTAATTTCTATAAAAACTTTTGACTTGGGAGTAGTCATAAATCAATTAAACTCCCAGGTTTGGTTATATGAAATCCAAAAGCATCTGAACCAGTATGTCACCTCTCATTAACTCTTGGTTTGTGGGACAGGAAAGTTATGAATGATGAACCACTGTGGCCAATGACTCAAAATAAATATTCAAAATATTCAAATTCAAATAATATTCAAAATATGTTCAGTATTTTAATATATATTTTTCATTCATTTTCAATGAATATATTCAATATTCAAAATAATATTCAAAATAAATCAACTATTGGAGGAAAAATCTTTCTGGCAAATACTTGCTAAAGGTTTAATAGCCTTAGTCTTAGGATCACAGATGTTGAAGAGCTCTCTGAGACCATCTTGTCACATGTCTTCATTTTATAGGTGAGGTTATCTGAGGGTCCAGGAGGCTTGAGTGACTTGAAGGTCACATGGGTGGTAACAGTCAGAGGAAGATGTCACTCCTTGGTAAGTGAGCAGAAGATGAACAGTTTTCAAAAAAGAAATTAACAACCACATGAAAGAAGCTGCAAATCACTTAAAAATAAACATAAATTAAAGATTGGCAACTGCACTCCACCCACCCCCTAGACTGGCATAAAATGTCAAAAGATTAATAAAATGGTAAACATCAGGTCTGTGGGAACAGGCACAATAATACACTATAGAATATATTAATTCATCAAAATGTATCCCCTGCTTGACCCAGCAACCCTACTCAGTATAACCAGGGAGGTCAAAGGGAGAAAGACAAATTGCCTTGCGTGTGTGTGTGTGTGTGTGTGTGTGTGTATGTGTGTGTGTGTGTGTATACACACATATATAAAAACAGTACTTTTTGTGAGGACAAAGAATTGAAAAGTGGGTGCCCACCAAGTGAGAATCCATAAATCCATAAACAAACTGGTATATGATCATGATGAAAAATTACACTGTAAGAAACTGACACAAAACAGGAAAAAACTGGGAAGACACTTCGTATGAACTAAGAGAGAAGTAAGCAGAACCAAGAGAGCAATTTTCACAATGTCAAGTTAAAGTAAAGGCAAAAATTACTAAAGGACATCTGATCAATGCAGTGACCAACTGTGATTTCAGAGGACTGATGGTGAAACGCAGGCCCTCCACCTTTTGGGAAAGACGTAGACTTATGGGTGTGGAATAAGGCATATTTAGTCAGATGTTGGAGGGAGGGGACCAGTGTGTTGATTTCTTTTGCTTAAGGGTACTTTGCCAGAAGGTGAAATCATGGGGAAGTACCTTGAATTTGTTTTATTTTAAAGGTTAAACAGGAGTTATGCAAAATAAATATCAATTCTGGAGGCAAGTGTTTAAAAAACCAATCATTAGATTTTTAAGGAAGTAATATTTAACTAAGACACTTGTGGCTAGTCCTTTGTGGAATGAAGTATGTCAGAATCTGAAGTCCAGTTCCTTTAACTGTACTTTTATTACAGGTGGGGGGGGGCAGCCACTGGGAAGCAGGTGTTAAAAATTTATCAAGGAATCATAGAACATTAGACCTGGAAGGGAGCTTAGAGTTCACCTTGTCCATTTTATGTTGTTCTCACTTTACGGAGGAGAAAAATGAGGCTTGCCTTAGCCAGTAACGCTGCAGAGCAAGACTAGATCTCCTAATTTTGAGTCTTATCCTCTTTTTCCACTAAATCATGCTGGCTTGTCCATTTTGAGAGGTTGGGAGGTCAGGCAAGAGGACAGTTTGTTCAACCAGTGTTTCATTCCCGAGAATAATCTAATATTCAACAACTTCCATGATTCTTTACATATTCCATATATGGTAATGAATAAGTCCTTTCTTACCTGGTGCCTGTAGTTATCCCACCCAGATGAGCCTGCCACAATAACAATCCAGTGCTTGCCTCCATCCTCCGCATCCTTGAGGGGGAAAGTATTAATTCCTAGCACCACGCCAACAATACAATTGTCTTCAAAATCATTCTGTTCTTTGAGCTCAGACTGCAGAGATGTAGAGAAAACAAAAAAGTAAAAGCAATAGCAAATGTATGTTTTTTCAGCCTCAAAAACCAAACCAAACCCCAACATAGTGATGAATGTATCACAAATATAAGCCTGTATATATACTGCAGAATGGACAGAATACTCAAAGGAATAGGAGTGTCTCCAACTCTACATTTTACTTGCCACATAATTACAGACAACTCATGTTCTACTATACATGAGGTTACCCACTTTGCCCAATCTCTGCCAAACTAAACCAGAAAATATTGTGCATTTCTTCATATATAACTTTCAGCAGCATTTCTGGAATACTGTCCCATTTATAATTTGTTAATACAATTGCCTACAAAATTCAATCTGAAGGAAACATCTAAAATGTTGGGTACTTTATAAGTCTTAAGAAAATATCCATGTATGCTAATATGAATAGAAAGATGACAGGACCTAAATTAAAACATTAGAATCATGCCTCTCAGTCAGCACTGAGGCAGGTGTCAAATTCACTGCCTAAGGGGATGACCTGAACTAGATTAAAATGTAATTGGAGCCCTTTTTCTTCCTTCTCCTTTCCCCCTCCTCTCCTCTTCTCTCCCATCTTCATCCTTCCCTCTGTTGTTTCTCCTTCCTTCCTTCCTTCTCCGGCCTAGATGATGCTGTGGTGGAGACACCAAGGCAGACATCACAGGACTGTGCCAGGACATGCTTTCCAAAATGGCCATGTACCTGACAGGCCAGCTGCCAGTGAAGTATTACAAACTTTTATAAATTACAAATCATGAATTGACTAGTTTGAAGTATCTAGAAGTGAAAGACATTGCAGTAAACATACACAGAAACCTAAAGGACTTAAACCAGAACTATGCAGCACTTCAGCTTTATCTGGATCTGACGACATTAACTGAGGAGCAAGCAGCAGTTCCCAAGCAGTCAGTCTACGAGTTGGGTACATATTCAAAGAAACAGCATGCAAAGTACAAGAAGCTAGAGAGGCGAAGAAAGATTTCTTTAGCACGAAGATTTTAACTACAAGGAACGTTTCAAAACAGCCGAAATGTGTGAGATGCAACTGATCAAACTTCTAAGCTTCAATTCCATAAAAAAGAAGAGGTGCTGTAGATCCAAGGAGAATCCCAGCCTTCACCTTCTGTTGGATGCGTAACTTTGGCCACCCTTTGATGTTTTCCTAAAACCGTACCCCCTGGAACTTCATCCGACTGTGTGCCCTGGCCCAAGGCTCAGAAATCAAGATCAACCCTGGCTGGAGCAGAGACAGATGAGAGGCTCCGGTCTCCGGTCTCCTTCCTCCTTCCCCTCCCCTAGGGTTCCATCTTTGACTCTTGTGCCCCCCACTCACTTCATAACCTGTTCTTAAAAAATAATAAATGCCAGTTTATAACTCTCAAAAAACGTTTAAGGGGCAGCTAGGCGGCACAGCTGATAGAGTAACCGGCCCTGCAATTAGGAGAACCTGAGTTCAAATTCGGCCTCAGACCAAACACTTGACACTTACTAGCTGTGTGACCCTGGGCAAGTCACTTAACCCCAACTGCCTTACCAAAAAAAAAAAAGTTTAACAAGATAAAATATAATATATAATGTTAATTTCTGGTTCTCTAAATCTACATGCTGCTGGCAGGGAAGAGGTTATGACCCGCAAATTCACCATCATCACCTTGAGATTACTTCAGTTTCTGTACTTACACTCTTATCAGTACCCTCAATAAATTCTTCTTTGGATGGCTGGAGGGCACAGCAAAAGACTCCTCCCAAAGCCTCCCTTTAAGATAATACACCAGAAGTTCAAGGAGGTGGAGGAAGGCACCTGGCCAGAGGGGCTCCAAGTTAGGGAGTCTAAACTAAGGAGTACATCCAGTGGGAGATGAAGGGCTTTCAGAGACTAACTCAAAGGAAGCCTTGGGTGAGGAGTAAGTAATGATTATTTTACAATGAACTACGAGTTTACCTACGTGCTTTGTCAATTGATTTTTTTTAAATTCCAGAATTTTCAATTCAATGAGAAACAGCATTAAAAAACCCACTATTTTTAGAACAATGTCAATGACAAACAGCTTTTTTTCTAGCTTTTGCATAATTTGATGTCCCTACCAGATCAACCCTCTTGGTATCAGCTTCTTAAAAACAATTTTAAATCTACTTCTAAAGTAAGTTAGGAGGAAATGTCATATAAACTAGCAAAATAAAACCAAGTCCACAGCTTTGTTTAGAGGATTAGATGGTAATCTCTTGGTTTGGAAAAGGTGAAAGGAAAGATATCCTCCTGTTCTCATTACAATCAGCTACCAAATCGTGTCATTTCTACTTCTACAACATCCCTAGCACCTGTCCCCTCCTCTCTACTCAAGAGTCACCACTCCAAAAATAGTGTTTTTCACACTCCACTACTGACACCCAATTCACAGCTATTTCAAATACACCAAAGAAAGACAATGACTGACATAAGACTTCAGGCCTTTGTAAACTCATAGTGGTGGGGATGAGTGTCAAGTTTAGATAACAGCAAACAGTTCCAAGTTTTGTTGAAACAAAAAGAGCCCAGGAAGAGAGTAATATAAAATAAGAGCAGAGGGGTGCACAGGAGCCAGATTGTGTCGGGCCTTAAATGTGAGACTAAAGAACTTTGAAGCACTATGGAGGCACTTACGGTTTTTTGGATAGGGAAGGGCGGAGTAATAGAACGTGGGAAGTTAGGTGGCTCAGCAAATATAGTGCTGAGTGTGCCGAGTCTGGAGTCAGAAGACCCGAGTTCAAAATCCGGCCTCAGCCACTAGCTGTGTGTCCCTGGGTAAGTCACTTCACCTGTTTGCGTCACTTTCCTCTTCTTGTAAAATGGGGGTAGTAAAAGCACCTCTCTTCGGGTTGTTACGAGGATCAAATGAGATGATAATTGTAAAATACAGAGCACAGTGCTCGGCACATAGTAGGCTCTATATAAACGTTAGCTGTTATTATTTGGACAGGTGTGTGGACAGTGACGGCTGGCAGACGGTTAGAAGGTTAATGCGCCAGAAGAACAATCCATACTATAACATCAACACTGCAAAAACAATTTCTAAAAGACTTAACCATATCAATTGATTAGCATAAGGACCAAGGAGGCGGCTCACAAATCACCTCCGCATAGGGGTGATGGAAGTCAAAATGCAGAATGAGATATACTTTTTTTCTCCTTTTGGGAGAACATGGCCGATGCAGGAATTGGTTTTGCTTGACTTTGTTTTTATTTTTGAAGGGGAGGAAATAAAATGCTTGTTCATTGAAGCAAAGCCCCTGGGGTCAAGAGGGCCCGCGTTTAAACCCAAGCTCTTCCTCTTATCGCCCCCCTCCCCCCACTCAGTGAGTTGCTTCATCTCCCCGGGCCTCAGTTTACTTATCTGTAAAATGGGGACTTGGGCCCCCGAAGTCCCTCCCAACCCCACGCCTAGGATTCTCCGAGCAGGGTCTTTCCAGAAGAGGGAAAAAGAGTCCCAGAAAATTCCCGACTAAAACCGAAAAACTCAGAAAGAGCAAAAAAGAAAGCAAAAAACATCTCCGGACTGTCCCGGGAGGACCCCCGGGGGAGGGGAGGGAGGAGGAGCCGGACTAAGCCGGTGCCCCGCAGCGGGGAAGCCTAACAAAGCTCGCCTACCTGCCCTCGGAGGCGGCGGCGGAGGCGGAGGCGTGGCGGCTGTCAGCGGGAGGACCCGGGAGAAGTCACGGGAGGTCGCCTGGCCCCGAGCGGTAAGCCCTGCGCCGGCCCTGGCTCCACTCTGTCTGGATGCGGGGTTCCCTCCGCCTCGATTGATCGCTCCGCGGGCTTGAACCGGCGCCAGAGCATGGGACTTTAAGAAGACGCCAGCCCTCCCACGCCCCCGTGCCCATCCCGGAGATGATTGGCGGAGTCTCGGTGAGGGGGCGGAGTCTAGGAGGACCAATGGGAGGAAGTTGTGTGAGAGTCGCTAAGTCTGGAGACTACAAGTCCCGGGGTGCAACGGGATGTTTGGAGATTTCTGGGCGGACCACGTGCTAGCCGGGTGACTCCACATAGAGGGTAGTGGGCGGTATGGGAGTGGGATATGAGGTAGCTAAGAGTGATTATCTGTGGTTGGATAGAAGAAGCACAGTTCAAATCACTTGACCTTGTTACGGATTTTTATGACCACTCTCTTACAGAGATTGGAAAAATAAAAACCGGCTGCTGCCCGGGTCCCGGTGATGATAATGATGATGATGATGACATCTAAACATTTATGTAGCGCTTCCCATGTGTCGGACACCATGCTAAGCTCTTTACAATTATTAACTCATTCGATCCCCACAGCAACCTTGGAAGGCAGGTGCTATTATTATCCCCATTTCGATATTGAATAGATGTTATATTCATTACTATTATGGAATGAAAGAAAGAGCCTGAAATTAACATTAACAATTGTGTTATTTACAGCAAGCCAAGGCTCATGTGGCTATTCCTTCCCTCCCAGGATGCAGATCGCAACCCACTCATACCTTGCTCAATCTGAAGGACTCTGTCAGTGTACTTCAATAAATTCTCTGGGGAGGGCTGGGATATACGAGAGCTTAACCTGCTGGTGCTGGCCCAGCCAGGGAAGTGCCCCACTTTATTTTATTTTATTTTATTTTTGAGCATTAGATAGCCTTTATTTTGCCCCACAGAAAATGCAGAAAGTGCAAAGGACTCATGGGAGCCCATCAACAGTTAGAGAAAACATACTACATTCAAACTGTCCATCAGCTCCCTCCAAAAGGTAAGGAATTTGGGTTGGCCTTCAGGGCAATCCTTTGAGGTGTTCTGGTGAGTCTCTCTTTTCCTAGACCTATACAACTTCCCTGAGACCTGTAACATTACCCTATGGTTAGACTCATCCCCCTGAAAAAAGATGTACTTTGGGGATTTCTCAATAGGAAGTTCCTTTCTTGTACTGCCCAAATACCTCGCTGGCTTTATTCTCCAAGTAGGACTGCTTAGGAACTCTGTAAAT